ATTTCTAAATGCTTGGTTCTTACATCCTAAATTCAAATCCTTTGTGGAGAGTACTTGGGCTTGGGCTGGTTTCAAGTGTTTAAAGAAACTCAAAGCACTTAAATTTGCTCTCAAACAATGGAATAAAGAAGTTTTTGGAAATGTGGAGTTTAAACTCAAGGTTCTTGAGCAGGAATTGCATTTGCTTGACTTGGTAGCTGAAGAAAGACGATTGACTAAAATAGAACTTGATAGTAGAAGGGAGGCAAAAAGGGAAGCTTGGAAGTTGAACAAAATGGTGGAATGGGTATGGCTACAGAAATCTAGAGTTAATTGGGCATTAAAAGGTGACAAAAACACAAAGTTTTTCCATATTATGGCTGCCTTCAGAAACAATAGAAATGCATCATGCTCATTAAATGTTGATGGGGCTATCAAGGAAGATCCTGAAGAAATAACGGCTGAAGTTTTACATCATTTTAGGAACCATTTCATTGAAACATGGTTCAGAAGGCCAACCTTATCTGGTTCTTTTAAGTCTATTGGGGGTGATGAGATTAGGGATGCATTAGAAGCTGAGTTCTCAGAAGCAGAAATTGTAACAACAATCAAAGCCTGTGATGGAAATAAGGCTCCAGGACCTGATGGCTTTAATCTGATGATTTTTCAAAAGTGTTGACAGACAATTAAAGGTGATGTATTTCAATTCATGAAGGAGTTTCATCAAAACTCTAAGCTAGCTCATGGGATTAATAGTTCTTTTGTCGCTTTGATACCTAAAAATGATAATCCTTCTTGCCTTAATGAATATAGGCCTATAAATCTCATAGGCTCTCTGTACAAAATTCTTACAAAGGTATCATCAAATAGGATCAAGCAAGTGATGCATATGATTATTAGCGAGTCTCCATCAACATTCATATGGGGAAGAAATATATTGGATGGAGTATTGATTGCAAATGAAATTGTTGAAGGGTGGAAGAAGAATCAAATAAAAGGTATTGTCTTAAAACTTGACTTTGAGAAAGCCCATTACTCAATTAATTGGGAGTCTCTTTTCTCTATGTTGTCAAATTTTGGGTTTGGATCTAAATGGATCAGTTAGATAAAAGAATGTGTATCTTCAGCCAATATCTGTATTTTGGTTAATGGATCACCAACATTTGAGTTCAGCCCTCAGAGAGGGCTTAGACGTGATCCATTATCACCATTCCTCTTTAACATTGTAGCTGAGGGTTTAAACATCTTGTTGGGCAAAGCTTTGCATATGGGGTTGATTAAAGGGGCAGTTGTTAGATCAAATGATATAAAGATAACTCACCTACAGTTTGCAGATGACACAATATTGTTTTGTGAGGTAGAATGGAAGGAGATTGTAACCATCAAAAGGATCTTCAGATGTTTTGAAATATTGTCAGGGCTAAAGATTAACTACCATAAGAGTGTGGTTAGTGGGATTGGGATCAATGATGATGTTACTAAAGAGTTTGCTGTTAAATTGAATTGTTTGCATCAAAGATTGCCACTCAAATATTTGGGATTGCCTTCAGGAGCTAATCCAAGGAGAGAAAGGACTTGGCAACCAGTAATTGATAAATGCAAACAAAAATTGGCTTCTTGGAAAAGGAGATTCTTATCATTTGCAGGTAGGCTAACATTGATAAAGTCTGTGTTATCATCTTTACTAATATACTACTTATCTTTGTTTAAGATGCCAAAAGGGGTTGCAAATGAGCTTGAAAAAATTCAGTCTAGAATCTTACGGGGAGGTGATGAGCTTAGAAGGAAAATTCACTTGGTTAAATAGGGGGAGACCAGTCAAAGTGAAAGTCAAGGTGGTTTAGGAATTAGAAAGGTTAACCTTTTGAATAACTGTCTTCTATTGAAATGGAGGTGGAGATTTGGAATTGAAGATAATGCTCTTTGGAAACAAGTGATTTGCGGTAAATACAGAGAGGTTAGAAGGGGATGCTGACCATTACCTATTGAAAATAACAAGTTGTCTATGATCTGGATAGATATAGTGGGTGTTGCTAGCTTGTGTCCTGAGCTGGTGGATTTCTTCAAAAGTAACATAGTTCTTAACATTGATGATAGAAGGAGAACAAAGTTCCAGATTGATATTTGGGTTGGAAATACTTGCTTAAAAGACGAATTTCCCATATTATATTATGTGTCTTTGGGCAAATCTAAAACTGTGGAACTGGTGAGGAGCATGGGAAATGATATTGAAGAATGGAAGTTTAACTTCAGAAGAGCTTTGTTTCAGTGGGAAGTGGAGGAGTTGGGGAGGCTGAATATGATTATACTCAATGCACCAGTGCTTAGGCTTGGTAGGTTGGATAGTATAAGATGAAATGCAGACAAATTTGGTATATTCACTATTGCCTCTGCCTATAAATGGAATGTGCTATCTTCTAAGGATATTAGCAAAGTAGTTGGGTTCATTTGTAAGAACGTAGCTCCAGCAAAGGCTCGGTTTTTTGGTTAGTTATCATGGAAATAAAGGATTAAGACATCATGCTATCTTAAAAAAATTGGTGTTCTTAGTGGTGGGTCAAATGTGAATTGTATTTTCTATAATAATGATCTGGAGAGTGTAAATCATGTGCTACTATTATGCCCTTTTACTTGGAGGATTTGGTCCAAAATTATTGATTGGTGGGGAGTAAAATGGGCAATGCCTAGGTCTATAGATAGCCTTTTTTCTTTGGTGGGCTGGTACTAAGCTCAAAAAACAAGAGATGGTGATCTGGAAAATTATTCCTTTGGCACTACTCTAGTTCATTTAGAGGCATAGAAATGACAGTATCTTTAATGGCTCACAGGTGGTCTTTGAAGAGTTGCGTGATGTTATCAAGATTAGGATTGCAATGTGGATTAGATCTTCTTGTCCCTCTTTGAATTGCTCTGTGAATGATACTGTGTATAACTTGCAGCAAGTGAAGTTCTGCATCAAGGGCTGATTTGGTTTGCAGATTGCAGTAGTGTGTGTTGTGGCATGATATGGGTTTAGTGATAGGCTGCTGCGTAGCTTTTTTCTTTTCTTTTCTTTTTGTTCTTCTCCTTGGTGTTATGTTGGTTTCTCACCAACTTTTTGTGGTTGTACTAGTAGATGATTGGATGTTCTCCTTGATGCCAACCTAGTTGGGATTGGGGTAGTTTGCTTTGATGCTCTTTGCACTTCCACCGCTTTATTAATGTAATCTCAAATGAAATGCATGTTTTTGTCATCAATAAGTTTTTTTTGCTGATCCAAAATAAATAAATAAATAAATAAATAAAATAATTGGACCAATATGAGACAAACTAAAAAAATTATGATCAAAATCAAGCCAGTTAAAATTATAAGGACCAAAATGACATAATGATCAAATTACATGACTAGCAATATAATTTACCCAAAATAAGATAGAAGCCCTCTTTAGAGATGAAAGCTATGCATTTTTATAGATGATAAAATCAAAATGGGAATGTCTCGGACACAGATTTAGCCACCCGGAATTTTCGGGATGGGTGATTGTGTGGTAGAGATTAACATGTAAGGTAATTTTTGATTAATTTCTGAATTGATAAAGATGTGTTTGCAGTATTAGTCAATCAAAATATATATAATTCATAAAGAGAGCTGCTATTCCTACTCCAATTTGCTCAAAATGCACTCCTTTATGTGTACTTATTATACATAGAATGAAGTGTACGTATTTGGAGTAAAGTAGAGTGAAAATAATAATTATGTATAATAAGGATAAAGAATAAAGTGTATTTAAAATAAAATATAGTTGGAATAGTGACGCCCTTCATAAATGACACGAATAAGATGATTTTGGTTAAAATAATTGATAGGCCTTCGTCTAGTTAACAGAAGAAAATAAATCTATGATGAGAAAAGATGTAATGTGGGGTTAACCGACCTTTACAAACAGACTGATTGAGTTAGTTGTTGCTTTGATAGTGAGGTTGAAGAATGTTGTTTTGAATATCATGTTTTATGTTTTGTACCAGTGAAGTTGGAGTTTTTGAATATGTTGCTTTTACTCTCTTGCAAGATATGTATGCCATATCATGCCAATATTTTTTATTCTTTCTTGATGATATTGTAGAAAATTTTACCACTAAATTTACCTTGCTAGGGCAAATAATTTACAAACAAGGTTTTCTTCCAAAAAAAAATAAATAATTAACCAAAATGATGTTTGGGCTCATGCAACCTATCAAATTTTCACTGTGTTGCTTGGGTTCATGGGGCCTACCATAGGTCTCATTTCAATAATCATAACCATTCCTTTTTTAGACCACATATAGATCCACTACAACATATAAGAGTTTTAGAGATCAAATGTTTTGGTTTCTAAAGTGAAAATTTTGTTACAAAATGTATTTAGGGACTAATTTCTATCGTCGTGAAGATAATCGCTAAAAAATTGTCCTGAAAGTCAAAAATAAAGCTTTTAGAGACAATTTTGGCAATGTCACTACTAAATAGACTTTTAAGGACAAAATAATTTGGTCTCAAAAAGGTTTATTTTTTGAGATAAAACATTTGGTTCCAAAAAGATAATATTCATCACTAATGTCTAATTTTCGTTGCTAAAAATATAATAATTACACTTTTTGCAACAAAAATATTTAGTCCGTAAAAACATAATTTTGTCCCTAAATTTTGTTCTCTAAAACCTTAATATTTTGTAGTGATCATTCATGAAAAAAATCAAGTCGGTCCAATAACCGTAGCCACATTAGTTTATAACATTTGTCACCCACAAAATAGTCTAGTTTGCGAATAATATTTGTCGTTTTTTTTTTTTGGGTAAGTAAATATCATAAATTAATGTGGCTACAGTTATAGGATCGATCTAAGTTTTTTTACAAATGACCTACCTAGTCTAAAAAATAAACAATTGATTGATTGTTGACTATGGAAATATGTATATATATATATATATGAAAGAACATATACGTTAAATGAAAACAAACACATTCATTAACAACTCATAATGTATGTTATTAAGTAGCTTAAACAATTGAAGAGCCCTTGTTCAATGGTCATCGTTCAGTACAAATCAATTTACTTACAAAGATAGCCACACTTACATAATAAACTATTGGATGGATAAAATCAAACATTAAAAAATGAGATCTAACGATTCTTGCCCTTTATAGTAAAGTGAACAATGTACGGCAAAACATAAGTAAGTCACGGTCAGGTAAACTGTGTCGACCAAAATTAGGCCCAACACAACACCGGATGATAACAGTGTCAACCAAGTAAAGACTTGGACATGGTTCATCGCTTCAAGAACACAGGCTTGGGAGCATGCCAGGACGGTTGCGATTAAGGATATGAACAAGGTAAGCATAGCAAAAAAAAAATCTCATTGGCAAAGCCATGTAGAAATCACTGCTACGAAACCTTGACAATTGAATTGAAAGCATCATTATCAAAGCGAATAGAGAACAAATCAGAGTCAAAGTAACGTACGAATTGAAGATGGTGAGCTCATCTTCATTTGTGTATCTAAGAACTGGAAGACCTGTTGTTCCATCGAAAGCTCCAGGGATAGTAAAAAGTGCTGTGTAGTTGACGGTGCCAATGAGAACAGAAACCACCATTAGACTATTGTTCATATCTTTGAGTGCTTTCTCAGATTGTTCTTTTAGGTTTGAGTGATTTTCTTTAAATAGATCTCTCGCAGTCTTCCCATCAATGTTTTCATGATCTAGGAAATGTTCAAGGAACTCGTGTTCATACAATACACGCTGCAAAAAAAAAAAAAAAAAAAAAAATAATGAAAAAATGAAGAAGAAAAATCCCAATTGATTAAGTGTATGCATAGAGTAATGATAAAATGACCAAATTTATATACCACATTTTAATCACGTGATGTGATATCAGTACATTGGTAATAGATATGAGTGGTAAAACTAATTCAACCAATACAATTGTCACAAATGAGATGATCATGATGTGATATCAGTACATTGGTAATAGATATGAGTGGTAAAACTAATTCAACCAATACAATTGTCACAAATGAGATGATCAACCCATTGTGGTATACAAATATGGTCATTGTAGCATTACTCTTATGCTCAAGGATAGAACTTGTAGGTAACATTATCATCAAAATCAATTGCTTTGAGGAACATGGTCAACTAGAAATTATTATATTCGCGAGGAGGGGTATCTAAAGTATATAAACTAAAGGTTTGTGTCACTCAAGGAGGTGATGTGGTAAAAATCGTGAGATAAGAGAAGTATGAGCCAGTTTGAGTAGCTAAAAGAGGTGATGTGAGACAAAACCCGAGATGAGATAAACATAACTGAGATAGAGACTTAGTTCGCCAGGCCTTTGATATTATGGTAGATATACTAGTTGGCTTGAGTGGAGGGACAATTAAACTATACAGACCAAATTAGAGTAACTTAGAGAGGTGATGTGGAACAAGTGTGTAACATGGAATTGCACATGTGGGCTTATGCATTAAAAATTAGTAGGAGAAATGGGGAATAAAAACCGTAAACCAACATATGTCCCATGTCATCTGGTTTAAACATCCAAGAAGAACTCTAGGAGTAGTTCCGAGGCTGGCTGCAAGATGCAATATAGTGTTGCCTTCATTATCAACATCTGCCAGCATAGCGTTTTTAGAAATAATATTCTCCATGAAGCAGTTATATAGATTTCTATCTTTCTGCTCCACTGCTATGTGGAGCATGTTCTTTCCATTCTCATCATAGCCATACGCAGCGTAAGGGAATTCATCAAGGATTTGGATTACCAACTCATAGATGCCATACTTTGTTGCATCAATAAGTGGGTTTTTCATTCTATTAAATATCTTTCTCGGTGTCTGTGTTACCTCTGTCTCCGTCTCGGTCTCTGTGTGTCTTTGTCAATGAGAGCCAATAACAGGGCGCACAATCTTGAAGTTTATAATCTGTGTAGTCAATCCAGTCCCTTTCATTCTTTACCAATTTTTCTGCCAGTTTAGGTGCATCAATGTGCTTTCGTTTTGCATTCTGAATTCCACCAAGCCAAGCATGGACTATGTACAAACCAAAAATAAATAACAAAAAACGAAAAACCAAAGAGAGGAATAAGACACATGTATCTATGATAAAGTACTTTTGTTACCAATAAAAAGTGCAGACCTTGTGGTTGCTCCCTCTGTTTTTGATGACTAGATGGAATCCCTGCTTAATGATAGGAGAAAAAAATTATCTGTCTTTTTCATGTCTTTCAAAACATGTTATTATGTAGCTTTCATAGTCTAACTGGAAGCAAATAAAAAATATTACAAGAAAAAAAACAAAGTATGAATATTTATCAATTAGGGAAAGTCAAAAAACTTGCACTCAATGTGATGCATCGAACATACAGCTCAACTATAGAGAACGGTTAGCAAGAAAAATCAACCAACAAAAACAAAATGATTGAATATATATACATAAATAATTGACTAAGATGACTATTAATCAACAAATAATTGTCATAAGGTTTCCTCCTTACACCATAAAAAGTCCATGTTTGATTGTTAATTCGACATGACTACTTGGTTGGAATATGTCCATGTGGCAACCTAATGGAGATACTTCCTTTTAGCCATAATGTTGTCGTGCACTGTAATGATTTATTAATTTTTTTTTATCAGCAAAAGAGAAGATTTTATTGATGATAAACCAAGAAAGTGGAGAATACATCAATAAGCATTGGGACAAGATGCATCATAGCTGAGCAAGAACATCCTAATGAGATTGGCACCTTCAAGACAGCCCAATTATATGCAGCCCCAATGAACAAGGAAGAAAACAAAGGTAGCAAGGTGCCAACTGAGAGGGAGAAAAAACAAACATCAAGAACAAGAACAGAGAGTAGTAAACACTGATTTATTAATGTTATTTGTTTTGTATTTTTGTGAATTGCATTAATAATTTATTTTTTTTACTGATAAAAAAAATAAAAAATAAAATTGGGCATGTCTAGATCAAGGGTCCAGCTCTTCTTTGGGAAAGGATAGGATCAAGGATGAACTCAGTTGGGAAGTGGGACGATTGCCTCTTTGCAATTTCATCAAAAAAAAAAAAAAAACACTATATTAGTATTTGTTATTAAATTTCTCAAACTATATAGCCTTTCACCCCATGTTTTTTATTTTAAAATTAAGTGATTACTTCCACTAGGTTTTTAAAAAAATAAAATGATATAAAATAACAAATTTAAGTGGTCACCTATTGTAAATCTATGAAATGTGGGGATCAAAGTGGAAAATGAAAATTTTGATAATATAGAGGCAATCAAAGTTTTTTTTTTTCCCTCGTTTATTTTTATTGTCAAGTCAAAAGGAAGTATCAATAAGAGAGGTGGCGCCGACAAAAGACAACAAAATTCAATATGGGCAGTGGGATTTAGTGCATAGAAGAGATCTTCGTCAATGGGAACTTGATTCTTTGAATGATCTGTGCGCGTTTTTAAGAAAAGTTAGATTGAATCATGGGGCTGACGATCAAATTTTTTTGAAAAGAGATAGTCAAGGTACTTTTTCTGTAAAAAACATGTTCTCTAATATCAATGAAAGGGGGGGTTCTTACTTGAGGGTTTTGGATGACATTTATGGAACAATTTTGCTTCTCTCAAAACACAGATTTTTTTGTTGGCAGGTTGTGCAAGGTAGAATCCCGTCAAAGGCATTATTGCACCATTGGAGAAATATTCCAAACGGTGGTTGTACGAGCACGAACTATTTATCGCATGCGTACTCCTCATGATCAAACTTGAATCCCTGAAAACACAACTCCGATGAATTTACCGACAAGTGTGTGCCAGAAAACCCCTTTAATGAGCTTACCGGCGGGTGCGTGCCAAAAACCTCTCTAATGCTTTAGCTCTTAAGATCAAAATGGGGAAAAGCTAAGAGTTCTGTGAGTAAAGTTGTATCATCTCTACTAGGTTAACCTTTGAGCTTTTATGTATTCTACATGGTAGAATCCTAGTAGGGCTCTCATTTCTATATGTAGAGTCCTACTATGAATCATCTTTTTAAAGGATAACGGCCATCCTTTAACACCCTGATCACCAAAGTCAAGTGAAACGACCTAACTCCCAGGCCAGCAATTGGACCGAGCAATCCATCTGTTCGGTTGCACATAATTTACATAGCTACATTGACCAAGTTTACTTCAATTAAGTCAACTGGGCAAAAAACTGATCAATTAAGTCGTGCAACGTTTGTCCGGTTGTGCCAATACCAGATTCATGCAACCAGTCAAACTTCTTACTAGGCGGACCAAACTCCTTTCAAGGCCGGTTGGAGTTCATTTCGGGCTTATGTTAGTCCTTCCATACGGTCAACGTGTTGGCCAAGTCTACCCAGCTAACGTCTATAGCAGGCTATCCATCCAGTCTAATACTCACTGTTTGGCCCTAGTCTTCATGTCCAGTAGCCTATCTGCCCGACCTAGAATACAGGTCGACAGACACATTGTTCGGTCCAAGCTCACGCTATGTTTATCTAATCAGCCCACGACTAATGTTGTATAGATCTTAGCCCAACCTATCATCATGTTTGTCTGACTAACCAAATTAGTCAGCATAATTTCTAAAAGATATTTTGTAGAGATCAAAACTTTTCTATTAATTCCAGATTGAATTTCAATTACAGAGATGAAGGTATTTATATACTACACAAACTAACTCTGGTTCAAGCTAACTAATTCATAACAAACTAACTAACTCTAGTTTACTCTGTAACTACCTAACTATCTAATTGATGCAATGATGTAGCCATAGCAGTTGCAAGTGCTGATAATGAAGATGAAGCTGTCGACTGATCATGCTGGCTGGAGCTGGAGTTGGAGCTATACTGTAATACAGCTAAAGAAGCTTTAGCTGAAGCTTGATCATGGCTAGACTCTTTATCATGCCCCCTCAAGCTGAGAGGGAGGAAAGATCCCAGAAGCTTGTTCTGAAGATACAAAAACTGAGGAGAGGGGAGAGGCTTGGTGAACAAATCAACAAGCTGATCCATAGAAGAAACATGATGAATAAGAAGCTTCTTAGTTGCAACTCTTTCTCGAACATAATGATAATCAACTTCAATATGTTTAGATCTGGCATGAAACACAGGATTGCTAGATAAGGAAACTGTAGACAGATTATCACACCAAAGGATGGGAGCTGTAACTGCAATATGAAGATCAGATAGCAGCATGCCAAGCCAGCTTAATTCAGCAGTAGTTTGAGCAAGAGCTCTATACTCAGCTTCAGTGGAAGATCTGAACACGGTAGGTTGCTTCTTGGTTGACCAAGAAATCAAATTAGGACCCCAAAACACACAATAACCAATGGTGGATCTTCGGTCAAGGGAACAGCCTGCCCAATCTGAGTCAAAAAAGGCATGCAAGGTAAGAGGGCCAGGCGTAAAATGGAGACCTTGATGAAGAGTACCTTTCAAATATCTGAGAATTCTTTTAACCAAAGCAAAATGGTTGGTAAGAGGAGTTTGAAGAAATTGGCATGCATGATTAACAGCAAAGGCTAAGTCAGGACGAGTAATAGTAAGATATTGTAAGGCACCAACAAGACTACGATAAAGAGAAGGCTGAGAAAAGGGTAAGTCTACGAAATCAGTAGAAGATTTGAGAGGCAAAGGAGAAGGAGAAGATTTGCAATTTGTCATACCACCTTTAACCAAACTTTCAGTAGCATACTTTCTTTGAGATAAAAAATATCCTAAAGAAGTAGTAACAGAGATTCCCAAAAAATAGTTGATCAACCCCAATTCCTTCATAAAGAAGGTAGAATGCATCTGAGTAATGAGAGTAGAAATATAGGAAGAATCACTACCTGTAAGTAAAATGTCATCAACATAGATTAAAATGACAGTGATAGAGTGAGGAGTTTTTTTAACAAACAGAGATGAATCACAATGACTGGCCTTAAATCTATGAGTAAGAAGAAAGGAGGAAAAAGTAGAGAACCATGCCCTAGGTGCTTGCTTGAGGCCATAGAAGGCCTTATTTAGTTTGCAAACTAAGGAAGGATTATTTGGATCAATAAAACCAATAGGTTAATAATGCATGTACACTTCCTTCTCTAAAATACCATGAAGAAATGCATTAGAAATGTTCAGCTGTTTTGATAGACCATTGAAAATGAAGAGCCAAACAGAGGAGAATTCTGATAGTAGGTTGTTTTGCTACGGGACTAAATGTTTCAAAATAATCAATGCCCTCAGTTTGGAGAAACCCTTTTGCAACCAATCGGGCTTTATGCCTAGCAATAGTCCCATCAGAATTTTTCTTAAGGCACAAAACTCATTTACAACCAATAGCCTTTTTGGTTGGAGGAAGATGGACCAAAGTCCAAATACCCTGTTTGATCAAGGTAGTGTATTCCTCATTCATGGCAGCAGTCCAAGCATTGGATTGAGAGGCCTCTTGATAGGATTGAGGTTCAGTAGGATCAGAAGAAGTGAGAAAACACTGATGCAGAGATTTAGACCTAGTGATCATGGGATGAATGTTAGGAGGAGAATTAGAGTGCATAGAATGAGAGGAAGGAATAGGAGGTAAAAGAACAGATAAGGAAGATATGGGAATTTGAGGCTCAAAAGGAGGCTTGGAGATAGAAAAAGAAGGAAACAAACCAGCAGAGAGAGACAGATCAACAGTAGACTGAGGCAAACCAGCAGACTGAGACAAAGCAGTAGCGGACTGAGGCAAACCAGCAGCAACAGACTAAGGCAAACCAGCAGACTGAGCTGAAACAGAAGGCAGACTGTCAAAAGGAGCAGCAGTTGCTGGAACAGATAAATTTGCAGAAGGGACAAACTAATGGACAATCTGTGGAACAGAGGACTGAGGACCAGACTGTTTGGTGTGAATAGAATCAAATTGACCAAAAACAATTGGAATTTGTGATTGTGGTGACTGAGCTGAAGCAGAAAAAACTGCAAGGGACTATGAAGCAGGAAAAGCTGCATGGGAAGGCACAGATAAAGACTGATCAGACTAGAAAAATGAGCTCAGCTGGGACAAAAAAGGAGAGGCAGACTTAACTGATGGAGAAGAAGCAAAAGGAAAGACATCTTCATCAAAAACAACATGTCTGGAAACATGAATTTGTCCAGTAGCAGGATCAAGACACCTATAACCCTTGGTAGATGGAATGTAACCAAGAAACACACAAGGCACAGACCTAGATTGAAGTTTATGGGAAACATATGGTT